ATCGCATGGCGATGCATCGCATGGCGATGCATCGCATGGCGGTGCAGAAGGGCGCAATGACAGGCCGATGGCCCATCTCCCCAGCCCCCCTGCAGGCCTTGCAGATCTTCTGCCAGCCCTTCCGCCCAAAGGCCGCGCAGAGCACGGAGCAGCTGGCCGGAAGCGTCCGGTGCTGAGCAGCCAGGGCGAGAGAGAGAGAGAGGAGGCGTTCGGGCTGGCTACGGGCTAGCGGGCTAGCGGGCTAGCGGGCTAGCGCCGGCTCCTGCCTGGAGGCGCACGAAGATCTCCCGCAAAGCCGGCAGCACCTCTGCTCCCGCTCTCTCGAGGCTCGGCTCTCGGCTCTCGGCTCTTCCTCGCTCCGAGCGCCCAACCCGGCTCTTCTTGGCTCCCGCCGAGAGGGGATTCGAGGCGCTGTAGATGGCCTCAAAACTGCTAGCGCCTAGCGCTCCCAGCCGTCCCAGGCTTAGGCTTAGGAGAGAGGGCAAAACCACTGAGAGCTTTAGAGTGTCCCTTGAAGGGCGTCCGGGCGTCCCGGCCGAACGGAAGTAGCCCAGGTGGTACCAAATCTGCACGAGGCTGTTCAGGAACTGCGGCGCTCGCCTCGGGTGGACATCGCGACGTACACAACGCGTCAGGCGCGTCTCGATCGGTGCTTGGAGGGCCGGGCTCGTAGGAGCCGGGATCGATTTTGCCTCGGCGTTCCGCGCACGCTGGGTGCTGCGCGACGCTGGTGAGCGACTGCGACGCCATTTGGGGCACTTCGAACGGGGGCCATCGCCGAGCCGCTGAGGCTCATGTACCGCGACTTGGTCTTCGAGTTCACCTTCATCGCTCCCCCAGCCAAGTACACGGACGCACCTCAGCTCTTCTCACTCTGTTCTCTGCAAGCTGCCGCCTTCTGCCGTCACACGCCGAGGTGCGGAAGCACACGGTGTCGTCCTTGTCGACGAAGCCACTGTTGCGCAGCGTCGCTTCATCGCAGTGAACAAAGTCGTGCCAGCCGCGGTCAATCGCCTCAAGCTTCGGGGGCGGAGATGCGACGACGCTTTTGGGCGCTGGCCTGGCCTTGCCATCAGAGGATTCTACCGGCGAGAAGGTGTGCTTGTCATGCTTCACGATCGATTTCTTCAAGTCCTGTACGAAGCCACGCATGGGGCAACGGCATGTCCACTTCAGATCGTGCACCCTGTTTCTTCCTACGGTTGATGGACAAAATCCTGCATTACCCACTATAAGGAATATACCATAATTCCCATAGTTTAGGGTCCTTAAGGTCATGCAGGATTTTGTCCATCAACCGTAGTAATGCGCGCAGCTACGCACGGAAGCCAGCCGACACTGGAGTATGCGATGCTCTTCGTCCCATCACACACCGGGCTTCGGAATATGGTCACTGCAGGTGGTAGCAACATGCTCTTCGGCACGACACTGCGTCGCGGACTGCGTCGCGGACTGCGGTGACAGCGTCGCGGCGACAGCTGGCCGTCGCTGTCTTGACATCGTATCGACCTAGTGACCCCAATCGGGTGCAGCATGACATACGCGCAGCACAGCAGAGACTTGGTGGCTGGCACTCCGTGGCCTGCGGAGGCGTGTGGTCTGTGGCTTCTCTGCATGTCGCGCACACCGTGTTGCGTACCCTGCATCGCGCTCTCGCCATGCCATGCCACGCGTCTGGACCTCCGTGTGTGCCCTCGAGAATGCGAGGCACTGGTGTGCCGTCGAGGACGTAGAGGATCGTAGAGGTGCTTTGGCTTCAGAAGACTCTTTTTTTGCAAAGGCCCCGGGCCCCGGCCCCGCCCCGCACCATCCTGGAAGTTGATGAGCGACACCAGAAATTGGACATCTTCGAAGTACCAGTGAGGAGGGTAGTCTTCACTGGGCCGTGCTTCCACGAACGCGGAAATCCAGCGCGTGTCTTTTTTGTCCTCCCGGACACAACTCACTGGCTGAGAAGCTCAGAGTGCAGCGCGTGAAGAGCTGCGCCGCCTCCTTCCCATCGCCATCCTTGTTGCCGTCCTTCTCGTTTTCCTTATCCCTCTCCTTCTCTTTTGGGACCTCCTTCAGAAGGGCTGCTTTCAGCTTCTCCTTCTCCTGAGTTCGCACCAATCCCCATGCAGCAGGATGCACAGCACAGAATCCGCTGGTTGCTGGCAAAGGTGCCGTTTTCTGAGTGTCCCTCCGTCGTGCCTTGGCTTTGTCTGTGTCCAGGTCCTCTTCCTTCCCTTTCCCTGCGGTCTCTATAAAAGCAAGACGAGTGCAATCCCTCGCATTCTGCGCACATTCTGAGCTCCCTTGGCCTGGCCGGTTCTTCCGCGCGTGCTCCGGAGCACTCTTGGTGCCCTGGGGGAAGACCAGGAGCCTCGCGGAGCCCAAACCGCGCAGCGGAGCCCAGCGGAGCCCAGCGGAGCCGGGCGGAGCCCTGCTTGCCGTGCCAAGCGGCCCGAAAACGAAACCCCCCACGCTCTTGGCTTTGGATCGGAACTTCTCCGGAGCCACATCTCGAGACAGGTCCTAAGACGAGCCCCCAAAAACACCCGCAATGGCAATGCACTCCAGTAGAAAGTCTAGAAGACATGTCCTTGACGGACACTCTCAGCTCAACCTGGCACAAGCGGCACACTTCTTCACTCGCAGCTGCAAGCCGACAGGGGCCTCGTGCGGGTGCAACTCCGGAAGCGATCTGAAAGGTGACACCGCCGTGCGCCGCTCCTTTCGAGGGCCCGGCGGAGATACATGAGCTCACATAGAGGCGGAGAGAAAAAAGAAGAGCGGCAGAACGCAGCAGAACACATACTGTGTTGACATGTTGACGGCTGTTCGGTACCGTGGCTCCTTTGCACTCGCACAACGATCGCTTTGCCGCGCCATGCCACGCCCGACGCGACCCTCCTTTCACACAGGCCGGGCCAGTAGTACAAACCAGCAAGAACACGCACAAAGTGCCTTTGGGATCTCGTCCGAAAGACCCGTGCTCCGGGTGCTCGTGCTGTTGAGCACCTTCGTTTTCGCCCATGTGCTGAAAAGTCTTGGTTTTCGCCTCCGCCGTCGTCGCCTCGGCGGAAGCCGCCGACACCGAGGAACCGTCCTCATCCGAAACGGGCCTCTGCGAATACAAGGGGTTCGGTTCCAGGCAGCCCAGGCTTCCCCCCCAAATGTTCGCACTCTCTCAATGCCTGGGGCAGACTTTTCCAGAAGAGCTTCCCGCGCCGACCTCAGCGACAGGAGCGGGAGCCCCTTGCTTTCTCGCTGGGATCGATGGGCCGATGGCCAGCTGAATCCCTGCTGCTGGACTTGACACTGATGCCTTCTATTTTAGCCACGGATGGTTGGGACGGCCATCATCGAGGAAAGCGGCGGCACGTCCCCCAGACCGTAGTTAAAAACTCGAAAGAAAGCCAACGGTCACTTTTTTCCACACACCTTGAGCCGCAGCACAGCGTATATCCGATCAGTTTTGACTTGCAAACTTCACCACGTAGTGGATGAACTTACATCATGACATATGGTAAATGGGGTCCAGGCTTGCTGTACAAAGTTGTGGTTGCTCTTACAACCTTCCAAGAACTCAAACTTTGTCTCAGGCTGATGCCTCTGGTACCGTCAAGACATGTGCATCTTTCTGCAAATTTAGTCTCAAAAGAAACTACGAAACCAGGCTCAGAATGTCTTGTGGTTCGAACTCAAAGGCTGGCCAACCACAGCAGCGTTTCATCCGCAGCCGAACAGGTAGAAACACTCAAAGCTTGCACTGTCCACAGTGCTTGAAGTCTTTGTCCCAAGGCCACCCCTTTAGTGGACTCGTTCTTCCTGCTGTTGGAGACTATTCCGCATCGTGCAAGATGATATGACGTGCCTTGCCCCACAATCCCGACGATGTCTTGTTCAACTGTTTAGCGTCGGGAGTTCTCCCAAGCGGTCAAATTTCCACCGAAATTTCACAATGTTCGCACCAATGGCACAACAACTCCTTTGAACAGTCGATGCCATTGTTTCGGTACAGGGGATGGCGTCGAATCTGTGTGGGAGATTCTGGCTCAAGAAAACTGCCCACCGACATATCACCACTTTTGTCGCTGCCTCCATGTGCTTGATCGACTTCAGGAGGGTGAACTGGCACACTACTTGTGGAAGCCGAAGCAGATGTTTGGGCTGACCATCACGAATCACGAACACGCTAGAAATTCCAGTAGGTCGATCGCCTTGATCATTGTGTTCTGGGGTCCTTCTCAGATGCGATCCACGAGGCCCTCTTTGTCCATGATTTCCTCTACGAACTTCTCCATATGAAGCAATCCTGTTTGATATCCGAGCCACCCAACCAGTGGAATGGCCAGACCTGCACAGATTGCCAGGACGTAGAAGGCGTTCTCCTCATAGGCATTGTCTTGCGCACTTGCATGATACTGCACAGTCTCCTCCAGCTTTCTGGTAACCTTATCGCTGTCAGAGCTATAGTTACCCTCTTTCCCTGTAGTATTTTCTGCTGGCTCACTTTTCACCGTGAACTTTCACCAGGCTGGTCTTCACGAACTCATTCTCGGTCATCAAGATCAACACGAGGAGGATCACGACGCAAACTAACTTGCGCATGAACACGGAAATTGGGTTTGGCCTTTGAGACACAATCTTCAGTCCATCGGTCAAGGTGATTCCATCTGCTGCAATCAACATTGCAAGTACTCTCCTAGCTGACTTGCAAGCAACACCTTCTTTGTAACACCGAAGTCTCATAAGATGTTCACGAGACCATTTTTATGCTTGCCCAACGAGACGACCTCACATTCACAAACACCCATACTGTATGAGAACAACCTGTGCACTAGCGTCCTATTCAACGACCGAGAAGCGCGCACAAAACACTTTTTAATGGACGTGGCATGAATTCCAGATAGCCTGGAGAATGCCACTAGCCTCAGGCTAGCCTTGCCATCCCCAGGGTGGCAGGGGTGGGCACTTCAAAACAACCCTCCTGAATTAAACTGTTTCGACCTCAAACACTACGGGACTACGGGGGCCTGACACTACAATGGACAGCGTCTTGGCAATCTTCACAGAACATCGGATCCCTCGCACTGCAGACAGTCTCAGGCTCAATGCTTTCCTTCGGCTTGAGCCACGTCTTGAGCCAATGGTCAATCACGGCACCATCCTGCGGCGATACTGATACTGAGAATGCCACCAATGATGTGCTTCAATCTAACACGGTCCCTTGACAACGCACGAGGTGCAATTGTCACGATCTCACATCATTGCCGAACGTGACAATCTACAGCTCTACCGACAAATGGACACCAACCAAAAATATTGGCTTTGTTCACGCAATCAGTCACAATCCTCTCAGTGTCTCCGACACTAAGCTGTACATTTGCTTCAACACTGCGATCAATACTCACTGTTCGATGAACAATGTGACCATGCGAGGTTCATCGGCAATCCGCAGAATGACGACACTATCGCAATCCACAGAAGCAGCGTTTCAATAGAGTCAATACATGACAATGACGTCACCCTGAGAAAAGCATCCAATCCAGGGCCACAGTACATCCACTCACAATTGTCACGCTTCAAAAAATTAGCATCGAAGGATACTTGGTCGCCATAGCCTTCTTGAGCAGGGCCTCTTTTTTTTGCTCAACGCTTTAAGGTCAAACAAAGCGTTGTGTCCCTTGAGGCCTCGCGAAGATACGAGTATCAGGAGCACTGTACTGCAGCTTAACTCGTACCTAACACTGTACAAGCATCAGCATCAACGCTCTCTTTTTGCTGAGCCCTGACGTCCTGCGAGGTATGTGTGTAGCAGCCGTACAGCCCTAGCTGTAAAGGAAAACTGAAAAGAGCGAAGCAATATCACCACGATTAGTCCTGAAGGAGCTTCAGGACTAATCCTTTCCAGAGAAGGCCGGCGACGGGCGGGTCGCGGTGGGAGCTTGAGCAGGGTGGCACAGCATTTTCGGGCTCGATGCTTAAGTGACAAGCATCAACGCTCTCTTTTTGCTGAGCCCTGACGTCCTGCGAGGTATGTGTGTAGCAGCCGTACAGCCCTAGCTGTAAAGGTAAAACTGAAAAGAGCGAAGCTTCCCAATCAGATCTCAACGCTGGCGGGGCTGTACACCTACGCAGCCAGCCCTGATTGGTTATGCCAATTCTCGTGACCGGCTCTTCCAATTGGCAGTTGCACTGCCTGCGCTGCAATCGGACCCTGCCCGTCAATATGTCCTTTGCGGTGGATGCTCAAGAAGAGATTGGCTTGTCTCAATGGCAGGTGAGACAATACATCTCCTCGCACCAGATTGTCATAGGTGCGGCAACGCAGCCAAGCTACTACGGAAATCCATGAATGAACTCAAGATGCAGAAATCAATGCAGAAATTGGAAGATATGAAAGGGGCACAACGAACGCGCACAGGTCGAGTGAGGCGACTCATATTCCGTTCGGTCGGTGGTGTGAGGTTGGCGTGGAAAGCAAGTCCGCGCAAGACCGCCAGAGGAAGGTCCCAGAAGCAGCAAAGGATCATGTCAGTCTACCGTACCCTGTGTTTCGACTGGGTTTATTTTTCTTTGAAGAACAGATACACCAGCCTTGAAGAACAGATACACCAGCCTTGGTAGGAATTTGCAGTTGGACTCGGATGTCGGTGTATTTACCCCGGTGTCAGGAAAACAAAGAGAACGAAAGACTGTGGAGCAAGTACTGAAATTGAAATGGGTTCACAGTCTAAGTCATTTGGAAGAGGTCGGCTTTGTCGGGTGACTCAGAATAAGCAATGCTGTCATTTGTGGAAGCCACTGTCGAGACCAGACGCAAATTAATCGGAAGACCCATGATCAGAATGGTAAGCCGCATCCTTCATCAGTGGCAAGGCTCATCCAGACGTTGAGGGACAGTGTGTTGGGCCCGAGCAGTAGAACAGAAGCTGGACTGGAAGGACATGCCGTGTGGGCATGGGTTTTATGCCATTCATCTCGATTGATGAACAGATTTCATCGTCTGCAGCCCCAGGAAGCACACCATACGAGAAGGTCGTCGGAAAAACCTACTTACGCAAGATTGCACCATTTGGAGAATACCTCTGCGCCTTAAAGACGCCTGACAAGAAGGTACTGCGAACTGGAAGAAATGCCGGGACCTGCATTTGGTGGGAATGCACATGGGGTCTTTGCGACCAGTCAGGAGAGTTTCAACCGGATGGAGGCAAGAACTCTCGTTGAGGTTCCGTGTTACACCTTGGAATCCCAAGAAGCCGCCCCTTGTCCCAGCAACGCCTACCATTTCGGAAGAGCCGAGAAAGAAGTTGAAGAAGTGTTTGATACGCTGGACGATACTCTGAGTAGTCATGGAAGCTCCATCGTCAGCCTCTAGCCTATGCAGGGAATAAGAACTGGTGAGCGATAGCATGATGCTGGATGAATTCCTGACAAGAGCTTTGGAATCAGCCCCTGCATGCGTATGCTGCTCTGCTGGTAATCCAGCAACTCCGGACAAGCTTGGTGCTGTGAGCGAGGTCTACGATTGGCGATTCCGACGGTCATGGGAAAAGAAGGTTCGGGATAGTAGCGCGGGGATACAGAGCTGGAGCTGCGAGTACAAAGGAGACGCTCAACCAACCAACCAGCAACGCAGCCGGCCGACTCGCGCCACTTTTCCATTTGATCTACGGATGGGCAATCAACCATCGCCGGGACCTGTAACTTCCAGGTGATTCCATCCGCCAGCCGCGGGCCTTGCCACCCAAAAGTCAAGCCAACAACCATGTCACTAGTTCCAGGCCTCATGGACAAAGCTCAGGACACTAGTTCTAAGTCACAAGAAAGAAGTTCAGAGCCAAAGGCCTTTATGAAGCAAATCTCAAGATCGGAGCTCACTGTACTGGCTTGTGAAATCACAGAACCTCCGAACTAGCAAAGCAATGCGAATCATACAAGGCGCTCAAGTTCAAGAATCAATGTCATCACATGTTAGGCTCACGAGCTTTGCAGAATCCGAAGGGTTCGAGCACTGATCGTGCGGCTCGCGGGAACATGTTGAGAACCGATCGGAGCCGTCCTTTCTCAGTGGCGTGTCCTACCGAGGTATCGGATGTGCCTGAGCCACCGTTGGTTCGCTGACCCGAATGCACAAGTGCGGCGGCTGTGTAAAATAACCTCTATGGTTGCAGGGGCTTCGGCTGACCTCTCGGTCACAAAGCAGTGCACTCCCGACGGGATTATCGAAGCTGAGCGATGCAACAGTTGCAGTTACGGCTACGACAGTAGTCGGCAAACCCTTCAAAACCTGATCTGTCACGCGAGGGTCAGCTTCAAGCGGTGGTGTGAAACAAAGTTGACAAGATGCCTAGCAGCATGACAAGCATACGAATGGAATGGGGAGGAACAAACCACAGATCGTTTAAGCTGTGAAGTTGACTGGAAATGAACACACATGTACGTGCATGGGTGTGTACGCGCTTCAATTTATGTAAATCTCGACCTGCGCATTATGTAGTCGACTGCAGGACCTTGCGATTCACAAATCGAACCGCTAATTGCATATTGCACAGCCGAATCACCGAATCGAACCGAAGCCAATGACAAAACCGAAACCGAATCGAACCCTCCGCTTGGGTTCATCATCGTTCAGAATACTAATTACTACGTTTGCTTGTGTTAACTGCAGGTACAGCCACAGCATAGACCCGCCGAGGCGGGCACCGTCCGCGTGGCGAGTCGCACCATGGGCCCGGGCCCCGCTCTCTTTTGGAGCTTGAGCTTGCGCCAGGCTTGCGCTTGAGGATGAGTTTCCAAGGATCTATGCCCGTGTATGCTCAATGTCTGTGCTCGTCTGTGCCGCTAGGCGGCAATCTGTCAGCCTGGTAGCTGCTAACTGTTCGAACTGGACACCGTCTCGAACATGTTTTCGAGAAACATTTGGTTGACTTCAGAACTGCTACCATGGAGGTCCAGTTCAGATCAGCACGGATCGCTCATTGACCTTGGGCCGCAACATCAAAAGCTGCCTGCGCTTCCCGAAGCACTGTTTTCCAGACATCTGGCATCGGCAGAAGGCACCAATTTCTCGCACAATATAGCGGAACGTGTGTGACATGAGATAGTACCTCTATAGTACAATACAATCGAATACGATATAGTCAAAAATAACATAGGAAGGCATAGTAAAGACATAACATGATTCTGGTATAAGATAATGCAATCTAACATAACCTCACAAACGTGTATAAGGATGCAATACCATGTAAAATCATGAAGTAGGCCATATAAGGATATACCACAGTATAGAGTAGTAAGATGTGTTAAACGATGTAGTGAACAGGTTAAAGTATGTGACAACATTATCCAATATACTCTGATATAATAGAAAGAGTTTTTCTGTCATAATGTAATACAACAGGTGATGTTACATGTTGTAGTTTAAAATAAGGCAATATCCAATATGGAAAATATAATGTTAGCTTATAGGACATGTATGATGTCTATTTTGGAAAAAAGGCGGTATATAATAAACGCAGTAACTTGCATATTGTCTTCTTACTATGACATAATAATGTACGCTCCAATACGGTATAAAATGAGACCAGATAGCGCAGAATTTGCTGGAACATTCTATGGAAAGGTAGAATGTAAGAACAAGTAAGGTTTAAGATGTTATCATCCAAAATGCAGCATAATCAAGAACATAATGTCGGAAATACGCATTTAATGCAAGAAAACATCATACAATATATACATATTTATATATATATATATAGTATCCTGAAAGTACAACAGCATCAGATACAATACAATACAACACAGGAATGCAAGCCCTAGGATAGAAGACAAGACAAGACGAGGCAAGATAAAAAGACATTGAGGTACAAAGAAAGAAAGAACGACATATCATCTCGTAACTACGAAGATATATATAAACACAGGTACCATAACATGAGACAATGGTGTATAACGGAATAGAGTAGAAGAAAAAAGATGCAAGACAGCATATTACAAGAGATAATACATGTTAAGACAAGATCATCTACGACAAGGTGAATAAGACAGGCTTAAGATGTTGTTTCTTGTTATCTTACACGCAAGAAATAATATATAGGGCAATGTACGCGTGTGCGTGTGCGTGTGCGTGTGCGTGTGCGTGTGCGTGTGCGTGTGCGTGTGCGTGTGCGTGTGCGTGTGGGTGTGGGTGTGGGTGAGGGTGTGGGTGTGGGTGTGGGTGTGGGTGTGGGTGTGGGTGTGGGTGTGGGTGTGGGTGTGGGTGTGGGTGTGGGTGTGGGTGTGGGTGTGTGTGCGTATGCGTGTGTTCGTGTTTGCAAATTATTTGCATGTGGCACGATCGTTGTCAGGGTCCTCTACGCACATAACATAACGGACATAAGGTGTGAAAACATCCTCCTTGCAAGCTCGTCCTTCGTCACTTCCTGACGCTCGTCTCCTCGCTCACGAACAGACGCAACTTCAGCTAAGCCTGGCAGGTTTGTGCATCGTCGGTGTTCAACGCATGCGCAGGCTAGGATCACCTCCGAAAGTCCCGGCCGAAACACTTCATGGTGCCACCGCTGTGCTTCACTGCCCTTTCTGACGCTTGTCAGCTTGTTCACTTCATGGCGCGTGATCATTGCCTGACCAATATGCACGTATTTGTCTATGAACGCAGTCAAAATTATATGTATATATTACTACATCTAGACTTTTATTCTAATCTACGTACGCATTGCATGCATACATGCATGCATGCATACATGAATACACAATCAAACAGACAAACACACTGACAGACGAACAGACAGAGAGACAGACAGTGAGAGACTGGGAGATGGAGACAACGCAGAGACACATAGACAGAGAGGCAGAGAGACAGAGAGATGGAGAGACAGAGTGACGGAGAGACAGAGATGACAGAGAGGCAGAGACACGGGCAGAAAGACAGACAAACAGGCAGAGAGAGACAAAGAGATAGAGAGAGAAAGATCATTAGACAGAGAGGTAGATACAGATAGGTAGCTAGATGGATAGACATAAACAGATAGAGATAGGTAGCAACAGATAGATAGAGAAGACAGAGAAGACAGAGCTAGCTAGAGTTGGGATACGTAGATACATGATATAGATAGAAACACAGCGAACCGCGGAAAGCGGCTTCTTATTTTTCTAAGAATACAGACATAGATAAAATACAGATCTGGATATAGATATAGAGAAATAGAAAGATCTGGATATAGATATAGAGAAATAGAAAAAGAAAAAATAGACTCGGGTTTGCCAGTCGAGCTACTACGGCACGATCTTTTCGCCAGGGGTTATAGTTATAGATATAGACCTAGAAATAGATACAGGTGTTGACAAACGCTGAGACAGCCATAGTATAGCTATATAGCCGCTGTATAGGTACATTTGTATCTAGAAATACAAATATGTAGACATAGAAACAAATAGTTCTATGGGTATATAGGTAGAAATATATGTGGGTATGTATATATAGACATATGTGGATACGCACTCATGCTGGCAAAATCTTGCATGTCGGCCAAATGTGCAGGCATACATGGATACTCTCCGATCCTCACCCCTCTGTGAAGATGATGCTGCGACCGGTCATGGAAGCTGCAGAAATCTCCGGCTGTCATCACGGAGAGCGGCATGAATTCTCAGCATTCTTCTTTTTGCTGGGCTTCCATGCGAGCTGCAGTGAAATGCGATCGACGCCGAGCGATGAAGAGGACTCGACAATAGCGGTGTCGAAGCGAAGCCCAAGACGGCGCCCAGGGACTCTCCCTTCTAAAAAGGCGAGAGCCGTAAGCCAAGATGGATCTAACTCCGCGTGTTGGGTGAAACGTGCCCACGGTCCCTTTGGACTGTAGGGTTTGGCTGCAACATCAGTCCGTAGTACTGCTATGGAGTCATTGGCATAAATAAGTGCGGACACAGAAATCAGTTGGACTGCGCAGTCCACCGACACTGACTCTAGGTCGGATCACTTTGCCTGGATTCAATACACCGGCACTATACCACTATGCCTATGTCGGGCAAATCAGCCCGCCTTGCCCTGGTTCGCCACTCCCTCGATCTTGGCCTTCACCGCGGCATCATCCAAGAGGTAGTACCTAGAACTTCAAAAGATTCGTCTTCGGCCACGCGGGCCGTTTCAATAGCCCGGCCTAGTTGGCCTGGCTTGTGCAGAACACTGACATTGCTCTCAACAATTCGGGATGGCTGTCGGCCAGCTACACGGGAAAGGCACGCCAAAGGGGCACTTTTGCATGACTCGCAGGTTCGCATCCAACTCGTAGACAAGCGGAACACCCGTTGGAATGTTGAAGTCCATTACCTCAGTCTGATCTTGAGCTATGAATAAACGAGGCCCGTTCATCTGGGAAGCCGGCATCTGTTTCTTTCATCCCCTGCGGGTGCACACACGCACACACAGTCCACTTGGTAGGCTTCGAAATGTTGTCCACCCTCACCGGCCCCTCCCTCCTTCCCCTCCTAGCCTTCTGCCCCCTCTTGTCAATCCTGTCCTCTACTCCCTCTTCCTCCCTGATCCCCCCTTTTCTCTCCGCTTCCTCGCTTTTCTGTCTCCGGACGGGCCGGTACCTGAATTAATTACTGCACGTGTCAACCGTGTTTCGGGTGAGAAAAGCAAGTGGAAGCCGACCGCCTGCTCAATGGTTATTGCACTCTTTGGATCCTCGGACTGCCGTATCTGATCGGTGGTCACCTCTCTGAACATGTCATCTTCAAGGTGATGGACAGAACGGTCAAGATGGTTTAGCATCGTGTGTCGTTTCGGTCTTGCTGCGGACGAAATGTGACATCACAACATACTACATCAGTCGGAATTGGTTCATCCGCTTACTTGCGCAAACACCTGGTGAGCACGCAGCTGACAGAAGCAATGCTGTCTCGATACCATGCGGCGACAAAGCACTTTGTGGCCTGGCCAAGTAATTTTTTTTGGGTTGTGTTCACACTGCAAGTGAGCCGTCTGTTGTAGAATGCAGCAACCATGTAAAGCTAAAAAGCTCGAAAGAAAACCAACAGTCTTTTTTTTTTCACACATACTTCGAGCTTCAACACAGCATATTCCGTTCAGTCTTGGCTTGCAAAATTCACCACGTTGTGGGTGAACATACATCATGACAAATGACAAATAGTAAACCAGGGGTCCAGGATTCTTTTACAAAGTGCACTAGCGCCCTATCCAACCCACCACCATCCCCAGACACCTCCGGGAGGTAGGTAAAGTAGCTAGAGTAGCGTACTAGCCGAGAGACAACCGCAGAGCTCAGCTCGGACAACCAAACTCGCACACCGGACTCTCTCAGTTTCAAGGATGTGGCACAAATCCCAGTTAGCCTGGAGATTTCGCTAGCCTCAGGCTAGCCATCCACAGGGTGGGTAGGGTGGGTACTTCAAAATTACCCCCCCCTATCAGGGGGACTTTATCCAGAATGGCCACGGACATACACGTGGTAGCCATTCAAAGTCATGGTATCTCACACTGGCTCTTCTGCACAGACACTGTAGCACGAGCAGTACATAGCATCTAGAAACAAAGTTTCTAGCCCGAAACACCTACGATGGTTTCGGTGGGAGGAAAGACGGCGCTAGCACACATAGTCGTAACTCGTTCCTCGTCACGAGGTACGTGCACTAGCGCTTTATCCCCAGACACCTCCGAGAGGTAGGTAAAGTAGCTAGAGTAGCGTACTAGCCGAGAGACAACCGCGGAGCTCGCACAACCACACTCGCACACCGGACTCTCTCTTTTTCAAGGATGTGGCACAAATCCCAGTTAGCCTGGAGATTTCGCTAGCCTCAGGCTAGCCATCCCCAAGCGTAGCCACTCAGGCTACCCAGGGATTTAGCTTACGGACCTTCCGGCTAAACTTTGACACCTTCACTGGTGCCTCTCGCTTTCGCACTCCTAGCTCCTGGTAGAAACTAGCCGAGTGCGCGAGTAGCCGGTCCAAGACTCGCCACTGGAAGTCTACTGATCCTCGCTGTCGTTAGTTCGAAATTTCATCAACAGCTGAGACTCCTTTGCCAACGGTGTTCAAGCTGGCTATGCGGGTGAAAGCGGCAAACTAAAAAATGGTCGTTGCATTACGGAGCAGTTCGCGCGCTCTCTCTCTCTCTCTGCTTTGTGGGCCCCTGGGTTCTTAGCATGCGTTTTGGAAAGGGCTTTGATCGCATCTACCCGTCGTCGGCCTTGTTTGCTCGAGGCGGCCCAAGCCGACATGGTTTGCCTAGCGCTATGTAGGGACGTCTTAGTCAGCGCTTTGCCTCCACCGAGCATGGGAACCTGGGGCGGTGGGTTTGTGACATCACACAGCTCCTGGGGAAGTTTGTTGACAGGTTTAAGCCATTCAAAATGGCTGCCTGTAAATGCAAGGGCGGCGACCCGCTTCCGTTGATTTACGTGAGCTGCACACACTTCCAAGTCCGGGGATCTCGGGTAAATTACAATCTTGATGGCGTAGAGCCGGCGTGGAGCTGCGAGTTCCATGGGCCCAGCCCAGGTGTCAACAACCGCTATTGCCGAAATGTACTCCTGAAAGCTGGTGCCTTTGGATCGGTCCGGGAGTTCCTTATCCCACATGGTTTCATATCGAGCAGCATTCTTTTTGTAATGTTGCACCACCTTGGCGGTTGATCAACCTTCATCAAATACTTGTCCATGTGCTTGAAGAATCGCTTGACCACGTCTCCTGCCTCAAACTTCGTGAAGGTATACTCCCTCCTCTAGCTGTCTTCTTGTCAAGTTCTGTACCTTCAACGGTGAGTTGAGCACCTGGTCGGAGAGGCCCTTGTTCTGCTTGAACAGCTTCTGTGGCACTTCCTCGATTACGGTGCAACAGTCGAGGCAAGACGTTCTGTGCACTGACCTCGTGGAATTCCTATTGCCAGTCCTCTTGTGCTTTCGCTTGTGGCTTTGGCCGTGGGACAGAGGTCCTGTGCCCACAAAGCATACAGGTGGTTTTCATAACATGAGCATTGCGTCCTGCCCTGTTGAGTGCGCGTGCGGGGCAACCACCTTGGCACGGCGCTGTTACGGGCAGCGCGGCAGCTCTGAGTGTCGGCCCTCCGCCGCCAACGGGCGGAACGTCGAAGCTCCGATACACCCAGATGAGCCATGCCTCAAGCATGGTGCTCGGCTCCTTTTCCTTGAGTCTTTAGTGGTAGTAGTCTGGGTGGTTCTTCAGGACTTCAAGGTAGGTGCTGCCTTTGTGCATTCCGAAGCGAAACATCTGATCACTACCCTCTGGGTACTCTATAGTATCCCATTCCGTGGAGGGAGCACCCTGCGACGCAAAGTCGTCCACGAGCTCTTCGTCGGACTCTTCAAAGTCTTCCTTGTCGAAGAAACCCATGTACGCCGCGGGCTCTGTCTCAGAGTCCCGTCCTAAGCTGACGTCGCTATCGGAGATGCTCGGGGTGCTCCTAAGGTCGCAGGTCTGTGTGGACTTATCCATCACACGCGTAGCCTGCGCAAAATGCGCAACTGCTGGCTTCCCTGCTGCCTTTTCCTGGGCACTCTCGGTCTCCGGACCAATGGCCCTTTCGACCGCAATTCTTGCAAGTGCTCCGGAGTTTTATCTCCTGAAGCTTGCGCCTGCGGTCTTCAACCGTCAGGCCTGTAGCCCTAGGGCGGTAGCCGTGCGCACCTTTGGCGTTCACAGGCTTGCCCTTGCCCTTGGCCTTGCTGCGCGTCATGAAAGCAACCGTCTCGCTTTGCACGACGTCGGCCAAGAAGGCTAGGCTTTCGCGGTCGTTCTCGTCAAAACCTTCAGAACAAAGAAAAGAAGTAAAGACGTCCAGCTCAACGTCCCTTAGGGATGCGTCGGCTGTCTGGGCCACCAAGTCGGTGTCGTCATACGCTTCGTCCACGGGACCTTCGTCTCCGTGGTACACCCAGTCGTCTTGCTGTCCTTCATCGGCCATGAAGGCCGTACCGTCTTTCGCGTCGTCCTGATAGGAATCGAAAAGTTCCTCGACCGCTGAAAGGTACGTGTACGAGGTTCCCTTCTGGGACCCTTTCCCGTATCCTTTACCCTTACCTTTGCCTCCCTTAAAGGGATGGCCCTTGCCCTTGCAATGGCCACCCTTGGTGCCAGGCGTGCGTCGTTCCAACGTGTGAATACGACTGTGCATCTTGATTAGGGCTTTCTCTGCGTCCTTCGTAGCAGTGGAGCCGCCCATGGACGTCAGGACCATCAACCGCTCGTTCCGGTTGAGACCTGAGTTGTCCAACAGTAGGTCCGTGAGGACGGCTTCGCTGATGTGCGTCGCCTTGTCGGGTTGCTGAAGCTTTCGCAGCCAACGTTTTCTCCTATCAATGTAGGATACCATCGGCTCGCCAGCCTGTCTCGACAACACTCCTCCGACCTGTGTTCCTAGGCGGTACAACTCTTTCGACTCTTGTTCCGCTGGAGGAGAGAGTCGCTCTCTCGCTGCTTCCACGACCTTGGGGATGTTGTCGTTCGAGAAGAGGATATCTGTCCGCAGGTCTTCTGCAATGATGTATGCCTCGCTCCTTAAGGAGTCGAGAAACTTGGAGGCGAGGTCTGCTCGCTCATCCACCTTAGTTTGCTTCCACCGAGTCATAGCTCGGAACTCCCATTCGTGAAAGTCACGAACGGTTCCGGCATAGACTAGGAAGCCAAACTTTGTCAGGTCTGTGGCCAGATCCTGATGTGGTCGATACGCCAGCGATCCACTAGCCATTGCGACCTACAACCGCGCAGGGTCGTACTATTGGGCTCCGAGCTCTGGTTCTCTTAACCATCCCAATATTGAGATTATGTATCTATTTAATTCGGGCCGGGAATTGAATAAGTTAAATAATCTAAGTAATTTAAATATTAGGGAGGGGGTCCGGGGGGATCCGGGGAGGGCCCAGCATTTTTTTAAGTTTTTGAAATTATGCAAATTATGTAAAAAAAAAAAAAGAAAATTGTTCAATTCCCTGCCCGAATTCAATAATCTAAATAATTTACATCCGGAGCCCCATCCCAATATTTAAAGTATTTACATTATTTAATTCGGGCCCGAAATTACATAATTTAAATAGTTGTTTAATTTAGATACTTTAAATATTAAGGAGCGGGGAGGGCCCGGCATTTAAATTATTTAAATCATTCAAATTGCTTACATTGTGTAAGTCTTTAATTCCCGGCCCGAATTAAAAAATACAATAATGTAAATCCGGAACCCCATCCCAATATTTAAAGTATTCAAATAATATAATTCGGGCCGGGAATTAAATAGTGTATATAATTTAAATAACGTAAATATTAGGGAGTGTGTCCGGGGGGGATCCCGGGAGGGCCCAGCATTGAAATTATTTAAATTAGTCGAATTATTTGCATGATTTAACTTATTTAATTCGGGCTCGGCACCCCCAGGAGACCCACATAGGGTATAATCGCCACCTGCTTGTCTGTGCTACATACAATAGAAGTGAAAAACCATCGCTTCAGCTGGCGACAATACCCCATTTAAGCCGCACACCTCCCCCCCCAAACCCATCCCCAGGATTTAAACTATGTAAAGTATTAAAAGTATGTAAATTATTTAGTTGGGGCCGGGAAT